CTCCTCTCAAGGCTACAAAGTTTCAATTATAGAAGGTAAATAAATCCCAGAATAAAAAGAAAAAAAGGATTGGCTGGGAGCTTCCCTCGCGGGGTTGGGGGGAGGGGAGCTTGGCCAGCTTGAAAATGGCCATCAGCCCCTCACCCAGACTGGCCAAGCACCCCATACGGGACTCCCCACCCTAAAGGGGGTGTGGCCAGCCTGAAAACAGCCATCAGCCCCTCACCCAGGCTGGCCAAACCTCCATAGGGTGATGGTCCCCACTGGGGGGGTGGGGGCTTGACCAGCCTGCAAACAGCCATCAGGGCTTCACCCAGGCTGGCCAGGCACTGCAGTGGGGACCCCCGATCCCTGAAGGGGGTGTGACCAGCCTGCAAACACACATCAGGCCCTCACCCATGCTGGCTAGGCACTGCAGCGGGACCCCCACCCTGATCTGGGACACCCTTCAGGGCAAACCAACCGGCCTCCACCCGTGCACCAGGCCTCTATCCTATATAATACAAAGGTAATATGCAAACTGACGCTAACAGCAGAACGACTGTGAATGACTGGTCACAATGACGCACATTGACCACCAGGGCAGACGCTCAATGTCTGACTGCCAGCTTGGGCCTGATCCCCCAGGGAGTGGGCCTAAGCCAGCAGGTGGACATCCTCCGAGGGGTCCCAGACTGCAAGAGGGCATAGGCCGAGTTGAGGGACCTCTCTGAATGCACAAATTTTTGTGCACTGGGCCTCTAGTGTGTATTTATATATATATATACTCTCCTTTGGAATCACATGCATATCTGCATTCAAATTTTGGCTCCACTACCAACTGCTGTGTGTAGCCTCCTGCAATTATCCCATTCATTCAAGATCTATTTCACATTAAGTGTGAAAACACTTTCAGAGCGCTTGACTAATTTACCTTGTGATGAAGTCCTTAGAACTTTAACTGTAACCCCCACTCCTCCCTGGCCTTCCTGCTGTAGTTTGACAGTCTGTTTGATGCTGCTCTACCTCTGTATCTATTTTTGTTCATCAGTTTATAATGGTCTTTATTATCCATAAATGAGTGAGATCATGTGGTATTTTTCTTTCATTCACTGGCTTATTTCACTTAGCATAATGCTTTCCAGTTCCATCCATGCTGTTGCAAATTGTTGATTTGTTGATGCTAGCCAGTCTGACAGGGGTGAGATGGTACCTCATTGTTATTTTGATTTGCATCTCTTGGATGATTAGTGACTTTGAGCATGTTCTCATATGTCTCTTGGCTTTCTGAATGTCCTCTTTTGAAAAGTGTCTATTTAGGTCCTTTGCCCATTATTTGATTGGATTGTTTATCTTGCTTTTGTTAAGTTGTATTAGTTCCCTATAAACGTTGGAGATTAAACCCTTATTGGTGATAACACTGGGGTATTCTGGCTATTTGTAGATTGGATGGGGACCAGAATGAAGAGAGAACCCTTATTGCAGGAGGCTAAGAGAAGGATGATTGTGTCTTGAACTAGCAAGTTGACTCTGAATATGAAGCTAAGTGAACTCTTTGAGTTGTATACTGGGAGGAGAATCAATAGGTGATGATGTGAGAAGGAGGTAAAGGGATTGTCAACTTACCAGTAAAATGAGTGGTAAAAAAAAAGATCCATCACACAAGTTCACAGTGAGCATTTAATAAGACAATGCATGTCAGGTGCACATAGGAAGCATTATATGTATGTAAAATGTTATTATGACAAAGATAGATAAAATAATAAACATTTGAAAACAATTCACAGTCTTTCTAAGTTGCCCAGAAAGTATCTTTATATCAGTTGGGAGTTGAAGAAAATTGAAGGGTGGTAATTGGCTAATTTTAAATCATCATTTTCCCTTAGATGCACATATCTTTGAAGGCACTATTGTTTTTCACTTGTTTGGAATGGCTGCCTCATCATTTCACTGAGTCCTGAAGACAACTTCAAGCAGTAAGAGAATTGCTTAGACTTCCACATGCCTGCTAAGGAGTCAAGGGAAGACAAGAGGAAACAAGAATGAAAATTTCCATTAAAGATTTGCCTCGACATAATTCAAAGAATCTATAAAGTGGATTCATTGCTTGTGATTAAAATAAATAAACTCAATTGAAGGATTTGATAACTTAACTTTTCACCTCTATATCTCTAAATTATAATTCTGAGAAAGAGTAAGGTCGTTTCCTTACATGACAAGCACTTGATGTTTTGTGCAGATGTCATTTTCTCAACATGACCACAGGAATGACAGGAGAGATAAAGGGTCAGAGAAGCCAATGAGTGCTATTTGCATCTTGAGAAAAGCAAAATGCAAATGGCAAAAGTGGTAAGTAGGAAACAGAGAAAGAGAGCTCTCCTGGTCACTCTTATAAACCAATAGACTCCCTCATCCTGATCATCTAGACCCGTGGTCAGCAAACTGCAGCTCATGAGCCACATGCGGCTCTTTGGCCCCTTGAGTGTGGCTCTTCCACAAAATACCACGTGTGGGCGCGCCTGTACAGTGTGAGATCGCAAGCCACATGCGGCTCTTTGGCCCCTTGTGTGTGGCTCTTCCACAAAATACCGACTTCTGCGCATGGGCCACGAAGTTTCAATCGCACTATATGTGCATGCCCGCACATGGTATTTTGTGGAAGAGCCACACTCAAGGGGTCAAAGAGCCGCATGGGGCTCGCGAGCCGCAGTTTGCTGAGCCGATCCTCTGGTTGTTTCCTCAAACAAAATAAACATTAAAGGGTAGTTCTTTTCCCCTGAGGGTTGCTACCAGTTTCTTTTCACTTGTCAGCCTTGTTTCTAAGGCTTCAGTAATGAGCAAAGAAGGAAGCACAGGTATTCAGAAGAGTCCACACTGGGTCATAAGAGGGGGATATAACTTCTCAAGGCTTCTGGCAGGAGGACTGAAAATATACCATCATCTCTGACTGCAGAGGACTAGCAGGACTTTCTAGATACCTGAACAGACTTATCTAATCACCCAAATCTGTCTCTCTGATTTTTATTGATTTACTGTCAAAGTTTCTGCAACAATTAACTAGTCATTATTTATAAATCCCCCTGGTGTAGTTCAATAGTACAATATTATCTCAATAATTTCTCAGGCTACTTACTGTGTCCCTTGGTCTGCAAGGACGGCTTATTGCCATGACAGCTTTTAATGCACTTTGCTACTAATATTTTTTAAATAGTCTTTGTGTTAGTGGATTTTTGTACTAACTAGTAAAATGGTCCCCTGCCAATCCACAACTTAAGAGGGTTAGACCTTTAATACCTTTAATGCCATTGGCTGTCAGCCACTACAGAGAGCAAGACTATTAGAACAGTCCACTGATTCCCACGGGTGTCCTAGTGCCCCTGTGGAGCTGCAGAGAGCACTCAGAGTCCCATGACATAGAAAAGGGCTGAGAGGTCTCATGTGGACGGGAAAGTGATCCTCTCACTGGGGTGATAAATGCCTCCCTGGCACTGCTGCGTATTTGTACACACAACTTGAAGTCCCATGTCACAATATACTGTAAGCATCTGCCTCATCTGAAGCAAACACTATACGTTTTTGTGTGCTTTGTGCCAACCCCAGAGTGTGCTTTCAAAAAGATGTGAAGGATTAAACTGAATGCAGTTTAAATCAGGAATACTGTGCCCATTTGGCTTTTTGCTTTTCCCCAGGCCAGTAAAGTGGCAGCTAACCTGGTTGTTATTTTTCAGGTGCTCTCAAATGAGAGTGGCACAGAGCCAGGGAGGTGGGATGAGAACTGATAGTATGTTTCTCCTGATTCCAGGCTTCTGGGTCTTTGTCACAGGAGGGAGTGGCAGTGAGCCAGAAACAGAAGCCAGAACAACACTGGGAGCGTGAATCTCTGTCTTATGCTACAGAGACCATTACTATAACTTACTCAAAGCTAGAATGTTAGCACAAAAGAAATGAATTAGATGCATTGACAATTCTGGAATATCCTGACAGAATCATCATAGGATGAGAAGTCAAGCAGAACTGAAATATTAAAACACTTAGAGTTTTTGTTATTGCATTTTGCAACTTACCAGCAGGAAAAACTCTGCATTTAACTTTTTGATTCAGATCTGGAAACACATTTAAAAATAAGAATGATACCTGGCATGCGTCATGATTTTTTTTTTTCAATCCCAAATTTACAACAAATCTGGAAAACAAAAGTAAGTTGAAAGACTATGGGTGGGGGCAGGTGTGTGTGTATGGGGGGGCGGGGGGCTGAACTTCTCATCAGATGGCAATGAAGCCACATGAGCAGAACAGCACCCATGCCAGTGCTAAAGGAAGAAACAGCTCTCATGGCGGCAGCAAGGTGAGGGTGAGGCTCAAGAAAAGGAGAAATGTAGTTTCTGAGGTCTAGGGTTTAGAGTGAAAGATTTGGTAGAGCAGTGGTTAATTTTGTTATTATTACAAACACAAGCAGAAGTCAAACACAAGCTCAAGTCATACACAGGCACAAACTTGGATTAATTACACAAGTACCAGATATCCATAGATGCCCTCATTGGCGTAATTTATATAATTAGTACTAAATGGCGGAGATAGATTGAAAATGAAATTTGGATTGGTGTCCTATGACAACTGTGCCACTGAGTGCCTAGAGACAATTGGTCTGACACTTCTCTCTCCACCTCCTCCCTTGACTTACTTTATTCCTTCCCTCTTAACTTCTGTGACTCACATTCATTCCATCTGCCTTTGAATACTGTCATTGATCTGTTGTGGACATAGTCTAAGCTCATTGATGAAATGAAGTTAAAATAACAGCTAAACTTTCCCTGTAGAGTTGGGTACTTGAACAAGCAATTGACCAGGAATCAAAGAATCTACGCACTAGCCAAGTTCAACTACTAAGCATCCATGTTACTAGTGACATTTACTCATTATACAGCTTGTTATGCAATTTGAGATTTGATTTTTCACATGTAAAATGGAGCTAAGAATTCATTTTATGACCACCCAATAAGGCTGTAGGATCAAGTGATATTATACACAAGAAAGCTTTTGACAAATTTTCAAGTGTTATAAAACATACTTGAATTTATATTTCTGATCAGGAAGAATGGACTTTTACCTAGAATAAAAGTGAAATGATAAATGAAGTTATTGGTCGGAAGTATAAAAATAAAATCTAGAAAACTTCTTAAACTAAATCAAAATTATGACAATACCAGCAATAAGGATGTTTAACATGATTCTATTAACATTGCTGCTGAAGTCTGATAGACACAGGGGGCATTTAAACTTTGTATAATTGACAGTACACTGTTGTTTTAATCCCAGAGCTTGTCTAGCAAACATCACAAGGGCTAAGGTAATTTTGAGATACCATAATACCAACTTCCTATAACTCCCCCAAATCTGTTCCATGCTTTATGTTTCTTTACTCTTTTTAAAAAATGTATATTTCCATTTATTTTAGAGAGGAAGGGAAAGGAGAGAGAGAGAGAGAGAGAGAGAGAAACATCAATGATGAGAAGGAATCATTGATTAGCTGCCACAGACCACAATAGGGATCGAACCCACAACCCAGGCATGTGCCCTGATCGGAACTTGAATCACGACCTACTCATTCATAGGTTGACGCTCTACTGCTCAGCCATTCGGGCAGGGCTTTATGTTTCATTTTCAGTTCATTATGTATTTCTTTCAAGGTTATAAGAAGAATAATAGAAAAGATGAGTAAATAATGAACATTCTTGCCAGAAAAATAAAGACTGAATGGTACTGTTGTCAATAAGAGTATCCCATGTAAAAAAAAGAAAATTCCTGCCCTACTTGCCATTTAAAAGCCCTCAGCATTCAGGTTTTGACTTTTCTTTGTTAAAGTACACCAAAAAAGGGGGGGAAATTCAGAGAACAGCAATCAAATTAAAAAGAATAGTAAATAAATAAGGGCTGAAAGAATGGGGCAATCTTTGTTATGAGAAAAACAAAACGAAGTATGGTAAAAGGTCAAGGAAAAATAGACAGTAGGTTTAGAACCATTATGCATAGCAAGCAAAGGACAAAATACCATGCATTAAAGTTCTTACTGGTAGGATCTATTGTTACAAAAGAAAAAACACAGCAACACACGAACTATCCATTTTTATCTGTGTGCAATAGGTCCCAATTTTTAAAAATCTTTATTGTTGAAAGTATTACATATCCTCCTTTTCCCCTCATTGACCCTTCTAGCCAGCCTCACGCAGCCATTTTTAAGAATTAACTTGAGGATCATAACTGTAATAATACATAATGCCAAGTCACTTATGTTCTTTTTTACCCCCTGTGAACAGTAGATATAAAGATGCAAATAGCCTAGACATCATCCCTTAATGTCACTGAGGTTTCTGCTACCACAGAGCAAACAGAGTTGCCAAAGAGAACATAGATCCAAATGGAAGAGAGATAAGAGAAATTCACAGCATCACATGGCCAGAGAGAGCATTTGGTGAGATTTTGGACAAAATTGGGTCTTCTAAAACAATTCAGGAGAGACAGATTCAGTACATTATGCACTGTGATTAAATACATATGCATAAAATAAACAGTAATGATAAAAAAGTAGGTAGACATTTCACTTGCAAACATAATGGGACAAGAGAAATACAAGGCACAAAGATAAAAATCCAAGCAGGACAGATGTATTTCCCCAATTGACATAATATTGTTACTAGTCTCTGAGAGAGAAAACATTACAAAATGCAGCAGATATTTCTCATTTAATACATATATATATGCTTCTGCCATGGCCAGTGTGGTTAAGTTGGTTGGAGCATCATCCTGTGCAGGAAAAAGTTTTGGGTTTGATTTCCAGTCAGAGCACATAGCTGGGTTGCAGGTTTGATCCCCAGTCAAGGACCATAGAGGAGGCAACCAATCATGCTTCTCTCTCACATCAATGTCTCTTTTTATCTCTCTGTCCCTTCCCCTCTCTCTAAAAAAATCAACAAGCCGAAACCGGTTTGGCTCAGTGGATAGAGCGTCGGCCTGCGGACTGAAGGATCCCAGGTTCGATTCCGGTCAGTGGCATGTGCCTGGGTTGCAGGCACTTCCCCAGTGGGGGATGTGCAGGAGGCAGCTGATCGATGTTTCTCTCTCATCGATGTTTCTAACTCTCTATCTCTCTCCCTTCCTCTCTGTAAAAAATCAATAAAATATATTTTTAAAAAAATAAAGTAAAAAAATCAACAAAAGCATATCCTCAGATGAGGATTAAATATGTGTGTGTGCATGCGCACACATGCACGCATGCTTCTAATATAAAAGTAGAATTTATAATTTCCTAAATTTTATAAGTAGTATTTATTAGAAATCAACAGAAAATATTAAAAGGTGGCATGCTAAAAGCATCCCCAATTAAGCCAGGAGCATGATAGAATAACAGAAAGTCACCAATAGTTTGAGAGTGGAGCTCATGTAATAAAATTCAGAAAAGAGTTTGCTGCCCTGACCTGTTTGGCTGAGTGGATAGAGCATCGGCCTGCAGACTGAAGGGTCCCGGGTTCTATTCCGGAAAGGGCATGTATCTTGGTTGCGGGCACATCCCCAGTAGGGAGTGTGCAGGAGGCAGCTGATTGATGTTTCTCTCTCATCAATGTTTCTAACTCTCTATCCCTCTCCCTTCCTCTCTGTAAAAAATCAATAAAACATATTAAAAAAAAAAAAGAAAGAAAAGAGTTTGCTAATTGATTAAATTTTAGGAAAAAAGAGATAGAACTATTATTATTTGCATAATGTAATTTTATGACTCGGGGATCCAAAAGAAATAACTAAAATAATTTATAGTTATTTTTTTATAAAGAGGGTGTCATGTATGAGAAACTGTAAAGTTTCTATAAAATTTCACAATTGATTGCATGTAGCAAAAATAAAGGAGATATGAAAGTCCAAAGTTTTATTGGATGGTGAGTCTACTTCTATCTCCAATGCAACCACTTCACTGCAGGCTGCAATCGTCTCTGGCCTGGATTACTGCAATAGCTCCATTCTTTCTCCTCCAGGCAATTATCCTCACAGCTGCTTGATTTTTTTTATATTGAGATTTAGTTGGCATATACCCATCTCACCCACACTCCTCCACCCCTCACCTCTGGCAACCACCAATTTGTATCCATGAGTTCAGTTTTGTGGGGAGTGTAGATTATACATATAAGAGTGATCATATTGTATTTGTCTTTCTCCACCAGAGTTATATTATCATAATACCCTCAAGCTCTATCCATGTTATTGCAAATAGCAATATTTCATTCTTTTTTATTCCACTGTATGTATGTATGTATGTATATGCCATATTTCTTTATTCACTTATCCATTGATGGACAGTTAGGTTGCTCCATGTCTTGGCTATTGTAAATAATGCTGCAATTGGCATGGGGATGTACATATCTTTTTAGTTTCCTTTGGATAAATACCCAGAAGTGGAATTTCTGGATCTTATGGTAGTTCTATTTTTAATTTTTTGAGGAACCTTCATACCGTTTTCCATAGTGGCTGCACCAATTTACATTCCTACCAATAGTGCACAAGCATTCCCTTTTCTCCACATCCTCACCAACACTTGTTTTGGTTTGTTTTGTTTTGAATAGCAGCACTCCTTACAGATGTGAGGTAATATTGCAGTTTTTATTTGCATTTCCCTGATTAGTGATGTTAAGCACCTTTTCATGTGCCTGTTAACCATTTGTGTGTCTTCTTTGTAAAAATGTCTATTCAGATCTTCTGCCAATTTTTAAATTGGATTGTTTGTTTATTTTTTAGTATTGAGTTGAACAAGTTTTTTATATATTTTGTATATTAATCCTGTATTGGATATATGGTTTATAACTATTTTCTCCTGTGTAGTAGCAGGTTACCTTTTCATTTGGTTGATGTTTTCCTTTGCTGTGCTAAAATAATTTTAGAACTAATAACTGAATTCTATAAGGTGGTTCCATATAAGAAAATACACAAAAATCAATAGTTTTTCTTTCTGAATAAACATTTTTTAAGTTGGAAAATGAAATGAGGAATAATATCAAATTTACGTTAGCAACAAATTTGGTAACTCCTCAGTATGAATTTAACAAGAAAATAAACCTATCTAATAAAAGAGTAATATGCAAATTAACCATAACTCCATGACAAAGATGGCAGTGCCCAGTACCTCTCAA